ATTACATCCACTCATTACCAAACATTCATCCACCACACCCATTACATCCACTCATTACCACAACACTCATCACTACCACCATAATTAGATGGTGGTCCTCTCCCTAGCCTATAAATGCATCCACCCTTCACCATAACAAAGGAGAAAAAGATCCATCAAAAGACACTACATTCACATCTCACAACTCCATACACTTACACTTTCATTCCTTGGCCGAGAGAACACAATCCACCCATCCACCCTTCACCATAACTCACCTATATCCATCCACCACCATAATTTACCACTCATCCATAAAACCACACCTTGTGCCGCAACAAAGAGAAGAAGGAGGACCCTTGGACGTGCTTGCCATTCAAGTTGGATTGTTAGAGCGTTTTTAGGTGTTTTCATTCTTTGTTTTCAATATCTAAATTTTTTTATCTTTGCTTTGTGAATATGAGGAGCTAAACCTCCCTTAGCTAGGGGGGAATTCGAAACCATGTTCATACTTGCAATATGATTTGATTACCTTCAATTATGATTTCATAAGTTGTGAATTCAATTTGTTTAACTGCTTGATTGATAACTTATTCATGTATGTTTATTAAGAGTGCACACTTAGTTTGCATGCATGAATATGATGCTAGAGTATAAGGGAGTTTCACCTAATAGTTACAAACTTATATTCACAAGTAGTGGAGGTCGCTTATAAACGATCGCGTTAAATAAATTCTTGGCAGGAGTTTCATGCTCATCATAGTAACGAATGCCTCGTCAATACTTATAGTTTTCATAATGCTTAATAATCTTTGGTTGTATCTTTATTGTGTTGTTCACGTAAAGAACTTTTGAAGAATGCTTGAATTGTTGTATGCGTTTTCCCATCCAATTCAATAACTTAAGGAAAACTTGAAGGTTAATTTAAGCGGACTTAATTAACCTGGGGTGTTGAGTTTCATGATTGATCGAAAGAACAACTGAAAATTGGTTTATGTGCAAGTATGTCATGTGTGGAGAAGAACCTCCTAGCTAGCCTTCCATCCATTCAATTTACTCAAATTCGTGCAGATTTCATTAGTTCTTTAATTTACTTGTTTTGTTTTCAAATTCGTCAAAACCAAAACCCCCTTTACTTTAAAGTGTTTTATTAGTCAAAATTTGTTTTGATTTGTGTTTTTAGGTGTCCTAAAAGTGTGTTAGAGTCCAAATCTGCCCAGTTTGTGTTTTTAGGCAGATTTGAGCGTTTTTAGCTTGTTTTGAGTCCTTTAAGTTTGTTTTAAGTTTTTTTAGTCTAGTTTAGTGTTTTTAACTTTGTTTATATGTTTTTAAGTCAGTTTAGAGGTTTTAGCAAGCCCTCCTAATCCCCGATTTAGAACGATCCCTACTTGCATTTATACTACAATTTGACAACAAAAGGATTTAATTTGTGTGTTAAGTTAATTTTTGCATCAACCTTCAAGAATCAAGCCTCAACGGCCCTTGAAGAAGCTTCCAACCAAATTCAAGATCAAGCCTCGACGACCCTTGAGGAAATCACAAGTCTGATTCAAGATCAAGCGTCCGCCACCCTTGAATCAAATCCAGTTCAAGAATAAGCTGTGGAAAGTCAACAATTGGAGGAATCCAGAAAATCCTCCAACCTAGTTCAAGATCAAAGCTGTGGAAAGTCAACAAGCGCAAAAACAAATACGTGCCAATTCATCCACTACCAAAGCCAAAGATCATCTACCACATGAAGCTCCTTGTGGTCCAATTTCAACCTTCAAGATCAAGCCTCGACGACCCTTGAAGAAATTTCAAACAAAGTTCAAGAACAAGCCTCAACGGCCCTTGAAGAAACTTTCAGCCCAATTCAAGATCAAGCCTCAACGACCCTTGAAGAAATCTCCAGCCCAATTCAAGATCAAGCCTCAATAGCCCTTGGATCGACATCTACATTAAGGGACGTCAAAACCTATCTTCTACATGTGACAAGCACATGTATACGGCGCACCTTGAAGTGGGGGCATTTGTAGACATCGAAATTTTGGTGAAATAAATATTGATCAATAATTAAAATTTCAACGTTCACGTGTCACATAAATTTCACACATAGCAGGTGACTCAACGAAAAATCGAGAATCATAAAAAAAGTCATTAAACAGGACACGTGTCAACACTTGGAAGAAACGATTTATTTCATCTGAATAATATATTCAAAATTAGGCTTCGGAAAATTCCATAAATAGAAGCCATTTCATTCATTTTGGGAAAACCAATTCATAACCAATTCACCTTACACCAAAACCTTGAAGCTTTAAAACTCCAAAGCTCCCAAGCAAATCCCGAAGGATCAAGAAAGCTCTCTTTGTTCTTCGTCAACCCAACCTTCAAGATCAAGCCCCCAACGGCCCTTTGAAGAACTTCTACCAATTCAAGATCAAGCCCCGACGACCCTTGAAGAAAGCGTTTATCGTTCATCATCCGTTCATCCTAAGATCAAGCCCCAATGGCCCTTTGGATCAACAACATCAACAAATCCACACATCCAACCGTTCTTTAAGATAAAGCCCAAAACCCTTTGAAGATCCGTTCATCAACAATTCTTCAAGATCAAGCCCAAAAGCCCTTGAAGATCCATCCATCAACTGTTCATCAAGATCAAGCCTCAAAGGCCCCTTGAAGATCCGTTCATCAACAGTTCTTCAAGATCAAGCCCGAAAGCCCTTGAAGATTTGTTCATCCATCAACCTTCAAGATCAAGCCCAAAAGGCCCCACCTTGAAGAAACTTCCAACCATTCATCCGAGATCAAGCCTCGATGGCCCTTGGATCATCATCACAATCCACAAATCAACACCTTACGGAGATCGAATCAGAGGATCAAATTTGAGAGAGATTGTATCCCCTAAATCATTAATACAAAATATTATTTTGTATACTTGTTCTTATCTCGTTTGTTTCAGGAAAATTTCGTGTTTACATTTACATACAAGCTTGTTTCATTTTCAAAACCTTTTTAAGTTTCTTTGTTATTTGCACCAACATTCAATCAAAATTAAAAAAAAGACCATTTTTTTGTCTTGCAAAACCAAAAATACATACTAATTCTTTTAGGGTAGTGCTATCCATACACTTATTTTTACTTCTCACATCCCTTTCAAATTGTGGCAGTCGAATTGAATGAATTGGAAAGATCAATGGCAAAAAACTACCAAGGGTGTGTGGGAGGTAAAAGTGGGTGTGTGCATAGCAATATCCTTCTTTAATTTTTCCTAGAGGTATATAAATGCCAAGTTTGAGGGGTTTTGTCCTGTTTATATATAAATCATGGATATGGAGCGATTTGGGGATTCAGAAACTTACAACCATATCCCCTTCCTCGCCCATTGCAACGGCACAACAGATAGCTACTCGTCTAATGTCATGAAGGAAAAGCCTATGACCATTTGCAAGAGGTGGGTAGTAATCATTCTTCCCATGTTTCAAGTAATCCTGCATTGTCCATCCTACACCAGCCAACATACCATCCAAGACCTCCACTGATACAAATGATAAGTGTAAGCATTAGGACACCAAGCACTTGATTGTACAAGAGAATACTAAACATTATACCACAGCAGTTCTGGAAACACACCAGTCACGCCTAAATTTAGAGTCACCCAAACATTATACAAATTACCCCATCTATGAATTTTTTTAAGTCGAGAATTTTTTTCAACATCAATAGTCCACAATCACTCCAAAGGCTCGTTCCTTATCTATTAATTCACACCTCCCTGGAATTGCATCGACCTCTTCAATTCCTCTAACGATATCCTCCAATGGTGCTCCAACTGCAATCCCAACAGCCACATCAGCCAGTATATTGTATATATTATGTCTTTTGATAGATTTTTAGGTACTTGCGCAAAGAGGTTAAAATCACACAAAATTCTTGCAAGAGTACAAGGTTTTCGTAGTATAGCAGCTCAAGTAAGGTTGTTTTCCGCAGGGATTATTTAAAACAATTTATGAAAAACCCTAATCCTAGTTAATTATTTGAAAGTAAAGATCAGAAAATGTTGATTTTGAATTTAAAAGTAATAAAAACGAATTTTACACTATGTTTGGATGAAGAAATTTAAGATTACTAAAGAATTTTAAAATGACGGAAATTAAATTGACGGGATTTTATTTTTTAGAATTTGTGAATTTTCTTGTTTGGTTAACCTAAAAGAACAATGGAATTGAATACGGAATTTGTTATTTTTAAGCTTTCAATCATAGAAATTGGGAAATGACACCTATTTACATAGAATTTAAAGTTGGGAATTGGAGGTCCCAAATTCCAAGTTTTTTTCCACGCGGAAATTCTAAATTCCTATGTTTACGAGTCCAAACAAGGGATTTGATGCATGTCAATTTACAAACTCTGATTTTTATTCAAATTCCAAGATCATTTCCCTCATCCAAACACAGTGTTAATAAAAGTAATTAAGGGAAAGCAACTAATAACCAATTAAAAAGGAAACAAATCAAAGAGAAAAGATTTTGAGTAACAAATTTGGAAAAGCACTAGGGTTTCGCCGTCACTCTAACAATCCTACGTAGTTCTTTTAATTCCTTATGAATTACACTTGCATATTTTGAAGGTTTGGTTTTTCTAAAGTATGCCCTACTTGGAACCCCCAACATAGAACATATATCTAACATACAACCCATCCGTGGCGTCCAAATCAAATGTGAACATGCAAGACTCATTAAGTTTTGTGAAAACCTTTAAAAACCATATAACTCTTAAGACGTGTCGTCCATCCTAAGTAGTTACACATGTTAACCACAAGAAGCCTTAGCCAATTTTAGGGACAGCCGTTCGCCAAAATTGCATCAAATTACTTTTCTAAATATCTTAATGGTCGCGAATCACTAAGATAAATAGATACTTTAAAGCACAGTGATTTGCATGCATAAATTCATAAGAAAATTAAAAAGAAACTACATATTCTTGCTAAGGATTATGACCTCACCCTAGCAAAGAGAATTAGTTACGCATATTCATAATTAAAATCAAAAGAATTGTATTGAAATAGAAAAAGAATGAAAACACTTTGTAGCCTAAAGTCTGAAAATCTCTGAGCTCTAGCCAAAATCTTCTCCCAATCTTGCGTACGTCTTAGAGAAACCCTAGGTCTGCCAAAAGGCTTATTTATACTACTCTAAATAAAATCCTCCTAGTAAAAGCTCTTAGAATAAGACTAGGAAACTAAATAAATTGAAATAAAATAGAAAACATAATCATAAATTGACCTGGTAAATTCATCTTGAAATCTGCATAGCCATGTTTTGGACATATATCAGCTCCAAAACTAGCCCAAAATAGCTGGATTTAAAGCTTGGATTATTCTGAACTCTTCTCTAGAAGGCCACAAGCCCATTTGAGGTCATCTTGGGCTCCAAAAACGCAATTCAAGACCAGAAACGTCACTTTCCAGTAATGCACACAGCTCCGTCATTTAATCACCAGAAAATAACCGCTTGGTAGAAAAATCCCAAATTTTTATACAAGCACACCAAGACACATAGGAACGTCCTCCAATTTGAATCACTCCAAAATTCGTTCGTTTGGTCATGTTTTGATCTAGAGGAAGTCGAATGTCCTACATTGAAAATATAAAGCAAAGTATCAAAATTCTACCAAACTAATTACCAAATTATACTAAGAATATGGTGAAATATATAATATAATATTGACTCATCATCTTCCAAGCAACGCTAATGATATCTCTAATATACCACTTGGAGTATTGACCAAAACCTGAGTCTCAAACAAGGAAAGTTCAAACTTTAAGGAGTGAACGTCTGCATTCTTATTCTCCATGGCAAGGGTCACAACTGGAACATCTGGGTTACCTTGTGCAATGAAGAAGGTTGCATTTGGGTCCTCAATCTTCACAACTTTCCTATGCTGTCCCGGATCCACCATCCTTGAAAATAACTTAGCCTTTGCATCCCTATAATCCTCCTTTGTCTATGGTCACTAGTTAAGTTTGTGAAAACAGCTATGTCAAAATCAACTTCATCACATCTGGATAAAGCTAGACCATGAGAAGAAGCCTGCATGACAACGGCTTCAGCCGCATTATGGAGCATCTTAGCCATTAAGTTTTGAACCAAAATAGCATCCGGGGTTGTGTTAGCTGACTCCAACTTATTATCCCCATGCACATAATAAGCAACCGTATTCAACATACCTGTCCTCAATCCCATCGCTTCATACATCCTTTTTTATCAAATATGCAGTTGTGGTCTTCCCATTTGTTCCCGTTATCCCAATCACCACCATATTCTTTGACAGGTAAGCCAATACCGGTAAATTTGCATTGGTATCTTCCACAATGACCAATGCCTTACAACCCAAATTTTCCTCCATGTATATCTCTTTACTAGCTACAACAACAACCACACGTCTCTTAATAGCCTCACTAAAAGACAAATGTCCATCCGTCTTGCTCCCAACATAGTACACGAACAAATCACCGGCATTAACCACCCGTGAACCGTGTTGAATTCCCGTAATCTCAACCTCTAAATCACTATAAACCGACTTTACTCTCATCCAAAAGCTCAGCCAAGCTCATTCTAAACTTAGGTTCCATAATCCTAGCCCTAGTTTTACCATAATTATCAAAGTCCAAATCAAACTCAGAATTCAAACGCAAAATCCCATCTTTACCTGAAATCACGAACCTTGGGATTGAATTTCTCCGGCCGGTCGTCCTTTTTGTGCTTGCTGACGACCTTAATCCCTTGAAGCTCTTCAATCTCCTCCAAATCCACCACCTCCTCAGGGTCCAGCTTATCCACCGCCATAATCTCCTTCTTAGGGTTTGGTTTCAGAAGCCCTTGCTTCACAAACTCCTTGCGTTTCAAGGCAACCACTTGGTCGATGTCGCCGAACAAATCGTCACCGGAGTTGTTATGAATTACGAAATTAGAATTCTCCGGCACGTCCTCCACATCAGCAATGGCATTGAGGAAGGTGTCCTGCTGCTTCAAATACTCTTCCTCCTCGAGCTTGTGGTGGCGCGAAAACTGCCACTGGATTTGTTGGAACTTGGACACTCTGTAACCCGAGTCTTTCGGGGCTTCGAGCAGGGTCGTCGTCCGTCGGATCCGGGTAGTACTTGTCATCCAACCTGATTGCGTAGTGGGTTTAATGGGCTGGGATGAAAGAGAGGGAATTGAATTTGAGGGTTTGAATGAGGTGAAGTTGGGTTTTAGACATAGAAAGTGGGGCTGAGGAGAGAGGAAATGGGGGATTTAGAGGAAAGTGAATACCATGAGAGGGAGTGAGGTCGCATGGATTCATGAGAAATGGAGGTTTTGGCGATGAAGGGGATATGGGTTTTAGTGCTAACGTGGCGAGTGGCGGGTTTTTGTGGTTTTTGTTTTGGGCTGGCAAAGTGTTTTTGAACATTTTGGGCTAAAACTTTTGTTATTTCTGAAATCCCCCAAATGAGTTGCAGTATATTGTTCGTTTCGTGTTTTCTAAGATGCAGACTAAACTTTGAAGATTGTGCGTGCCGAACAAATATGGGCCGTTTGGAAATCGGGTCATAAATGACCCGTCACTTAATTAAAATGATAGTTGCATGAATTCAAAATTTATTGGGTTTTAAACTGTCCCCCTGACAACAACACTTACCATTTTTAGTAAGTCTCGTCCTCCTCCAAAAACACTTCATCTTTCCCGTTCAAAAATTTGTTTCCTATTCCAAACCCAGTTATAGTTGGTCTGTGCTTGTGTTCTCCGACCTCACAGAAATTTTAGACAGCAAAAAATCAGGGGAGTTTGGTTGAAGGTTGTGCAATTGATTCCATAGAAAGGATGTGTTTTTTCGCTTTATTCGAGCTGAGTTCAAAGTGCTTCTGCAATAACCGATGTCATATTTGATTCCCCTAGTGAATTTCAAATTTGGTGATTTTTGAAAATGGAACTGTAGAATTTAATTTATTATTTCTTTTAATTAGTATAAAATAAGTTAGATGCAAGGTTAATTATGCATGTTTTTATGTAATTAGCTAGAATTTGTGGATATATGTGAATTGTTTTTAGAAATCTAGGTGCGTTGTGAAGTTATGAAGCTATGTTGACAGGTTGTGTAGAGGCTGGGTCGTTATCTGTTGTTTTGGTGAAGTTGTAGTTTTGAGTAGGATTGATTTTTGTATCTAAATAATTGTTAATTTTATGGTGGTAGAGATTAATTTTTATATCTGAATTATTGTTAATTTTATGGTGGGACTTGAAATTGCTTAAGTAATGATGCTCCGTTCACAATAGATGTATAACTATTAAGCTTTGGTGATAGGTTATTGTAAGGTTGTATGTTGTTAATTGTAGATGCGTGTGTATTGTTATGTGTACAAGATATGGCAATCCAAACTGTTCAACTAGCAACCAAAGAAGAAGAAGCGAATAGGGGCACGATAAACAACTTATCCTAAGTCATCCATGTGTTGGATTAATTAGGGAGAAGTTTAATGAGGCACCGCTTAGTGCCTTTAGGGCATGTTGCTTTGGCCACCTTTAGGGTGTGGATGAATTGGCCTTCAGTGGGCAATTAGTCCATGAGTTGTTGCCCCATAAAGTGGTAAATCAAGGGATTTAGATGTGATTCAGCAAGAGGTGAGCCAAATGGATGGGTATCAAGCAGTTGATGTTCAACAGAACAAGGCAGAAGTTGCCAAATTACGGAAAACGTACAAGGAAGAGATCGACCAGGGGTATAATCTAGGCTACCTTGCTGGTTACATTGGCTAGGGTCACCACGATGAGTGGCACTTTGCTTACTTGTTGGCAGAGATCTGGGAAAATTGATATGCATGTACCTTTCTCTCTTATCGTTAAGGCTACGATGCTCGATATGTTCGGAGATAACAAGTCTTCTTCTGGTTATGAGGAGCTGACGAAGGAAGCAAGGTTAAATACTTCATATATTGCCTTTATCTTCAACTACTTCTGAGAAAATTATGGGCACGTTGGCTGGGGATGTTTCTGAATTTCCAGAGCCTTTGGAATTTTCTTGGTTTTTTTTGTTTTTTTTATCCTTATCTTTATTTGTTCAGCTAGGGTGGAAGCTTCTTTCAGTCCTGAGGCATCGGCAAAGGAAACAAGGCCAGTTACCTCGAATATTGCCCCTGTTGACCTTTCTCTAGCTATTTATGAGAAGATTATGGGCATGTTGGCTACAAATGTTCATGGATTTCAGAGTCCTTGTAATTTCCTTGCTTTTTATTCTTATCTTTATTTGTTTGGCTATGGTGGAAGCTTGTCCCTCCATTAATTCACATATTTTTTTATAGTAGAACCGTCTGCGACGGATGAATGTATTTATCTTGCTTTCTGACAAGGTTTATGACTTAGCTTTGTTCTTATATACCTTAATTTCAATTCGTCAATGCCTCCAAAATAGGTTAACCTCGGAGCACTACAAGTTAGAGCGGAACACGAGTAAACTTGTGAGCCCGGAACATAGTTCAATAACTCCCATTGGTGATGTTGATTCGGATAAACATCACCTCTTAAGTTTGATGTTCATAGAGATATCCATCGCAATATCCAGAATACTACTTTACTCTGGTACCAGGTGTTGAAATACTAAGCCTATGGATAAACTATTGCTAAGCATTTACATTTTGCACTGACCAAAATAAAAGTGGAAAACTACCTTTTGATTTATGGAAGATCCTCCAATTGTTCGTCCTTTTCGCTTGTCGCAATGTGATACTAAAACAAAAGTTTTTTTTAGGACTTGGCCGCTTGTATATGAATTGGAAACAATTTTTGAATCTTTTTGTCAGACCCCATTCGTCAGGTGTGAACATTTTCAATCGAACTACCTTGACTGACTTGGAAAGAGTACTTCCTTGTATTGGAACTCCTTTGGCAAAGTGTTCATCTTTGGGGATTATCTAGTCTAGATGCCCCATTCGGACTTGCTTTCAAATGTTGCCACAAAGCATACTTGTTTTAATATGCTAGTCGTATACTCTTTTTGGAGGTCAGATGATGCATTAGACTTCCAAGTCAGGGTGTTATTTGCCTGTGCTCATAGTCTGCAGATCGCAACCGTGCTTATTACCGCTTGAGTCTCCCAAGCTGCTTACCATAATATACAAAATGGGCTAAAAGAGACCCATCTGACAATTTTTTCGACAAGTTTTCACACTTGCTTTCATGCTAAGTTTTCAAAACTTGTGCTTTAAATGGGTATTACTGTCACAGCCCGTCCCGAAATTACATTTATCGTTGATGTGAACTGATGGAATTGTCCTTGAAGGATGCTAGGGTATGTGTGAGATGTTTATTTGAATAAAGCATACCTTCCTAAATTCTTGGAAAAAATTAAGTTGGATTAAAAATTGTGTGCATTTTGTGTGGTTAGGGACTTAAGAGGACCACACATACACCAATCAGTTCATTCTCTTTCTCCCGCACGTTCTCTCTCTCCTTTCTCTCAGTTCATTTTCTCTCTCCCGCACGTTCTCTCTCTCCTTTCTCTCAGTTCATTCTCTCTCTCCCTTCGAACTCGTACGGACCACACCCAAAGACCAGTCGTGTTTGAGACCACCATCGTGCTCCTGGAGACCACACGAACTCTCTGGTACCCATTTCAGGTAAGGAATCATTCAATATCACGTTAAAAACTCAACTCCAAGTTGAGCACTATTCATGAACTTTTGAATGGTTACGTTTTATGACAATCCAAGTTCATAGTGAGCTCTAGGAGGTTCCCACGAAGCTCGGGGACGTTCGTTTGGAAGTTTTGGACGTCGGGAAGCCCTAGTTCGAAGATGGCCGGTTTTGGTGAAATTATCCTGACGAGTTTTCGAAGGATTTGGAAGTTTTAAAAGGTATAGCCTTCTTCCTCTAGAAATTTGTGAAGTTTTGGTGAAAATTTCGTGGAAAATGGTGCAAAATCAAGCGAGAAAAGGGCATTTACAAGTTTGCCCAATTTCCGGTGCCGGCGAGATTTTCTGACGTTTGGAGGTAGGGGATGACGCGCGTGGGGGCGAGTGGCACTGTGCCCCTACCGGCTCGTGGGGTCGCGTGCGGCGATGAAAAATTATTTTAAAAATATCTTGACGTCCATGACGTCGAGTAGGTCACTGTGGTATATTCATATACCCAATTTGAGCAATGTATGAAAAGTTATTAGCTAGTTTTGCCTATATGTTTTAAAATAACCTTTTTATAGTTTTTTCGCATATAGGTGAGACCTATCCTAAGGACGAGCGCATTCAAGGGCATCACGGGGGTTACGACCCTTCGACATATCAGTGAGTGAGCAGTTATTTTCTGTATATACCTATATACTACTGACTTTTCCCAGAAATTGAATTTAAATGAAAGTATGTTTTAAAATGCCATACGTACATATTATATGAAATATATGAACTAGTATTTGATGCATATATGTGAAATGGTGCTGTGGACGCACATGTGAGTATCATGTGAGTTAGTTATTGTTTATTATTTGAGGTGATGTACGTTGAGAGCTCACAACCTGCACCCCCGGTGTCAGTGCTTGTATTATTCATCCCGCACCACACGCTCACCTTGGATCCAAGTAGGTGCATGTCGTATAGACCACTAGAGGTGGTTCCGACATGTCGTACAGACCATTAGAGGTGGTTCCGACTTGTAGGTGACTCTAGATTATTAGACAGATGTTGATGAAAGAAGCACTAGAACGTATTCTTACACCATTCTTGTCGTATAAACTACTTTAGGTAGTTTCAATTTATGTGCAGAGTAGTGTCGTATAGGTTACAGTTGGTGACTCCGGCTGGATTGGATATTGAGCTATAGAATTAGCCGTACATGACAGCTGCAGGGTCTCCGGTTGATTCCTTATTTCACCTGTTATATTTATGCATCCTTATTATGTTTTGAAGCATAGCATGGCATATTTCCTGAAAAGTGTTAAAGACTTGTGATTCGAATTATTTGCTGTTATATATGGTTATATATATATACTATTTTTTTGGGAAAGTATACAGGTTTTACAGTGAGGGGTTAGAAGTGTTATTATCTGAAATATTTCTGAAAAGCTTTGTTTTACTGACCCACTCAATCTTGTTTTGCACCCTTCCAGGTTCTAGTTAGCAGTGTTGGTGGCTCACGAGGATTCCCACGGCGTTCTAACAGACTACTTAAATGTAGGACTCATCTTTGGGTGTTGTAATTTAGGAATGGTCCTACTTGACTGCACCTAGTACTTATGCTCTGATTATGTGTGTTTCACACTTAAACTCATTCTAGCATGTTATTCGGATATTATTGCTAGTAGATGGTTTTCATTCCTTTCTATTTCTTTTACCTTTTTGCTTCCGCGTCGCACTTTTGGTTACGTCACGCCCACGTGACGGCTAGCACGCCCTGATTTTAGGATTGGGGTGTGTCAGTTTGGTATCAGAGCCTAGGTTTGCAGTCCTGTATAAATTGGGAATGCTCTAATGATCTTTTGGTGTCTTCTGTCAGAACTATGCCGCCTCGTAGGGAACAACGTCGTTCTTCTGAGCCTAATTTCCCTGACATAACTCAATTAGGGGAAGCGATGGCCCATGCCTTTCCGACTGCAATCCGTCCTCCTCAGAGAACACCCCTAGAGACTGTGTACAATATGAAATTAGACCACTTCATTGGTAATGAGGGTCATGAAGGGGAAAAAAATGGTTAGGCCGTATTAAGAAGACCTTTCAAATGATGCAGAGTCAAGGGAATCTTCCTGCTAGTAGATGGGTTGAGACCACTACTTGGTTTTTAGGATGAGAGTCGGCAGCTTGGTGGAAAAATCAAACTCAGTTTATGTCACCTGAAGCGGCAGTTGATTGGGAAACATTCAAAAAGAATTTTAAGAAAAGATTTGTTCCCCCGGAGTACATTGATCGTAAGAAGCAGGAGTTCACTCAATTGAAGCAAAAGAAAATGTCGACGAATGAGTATTATAGGAAGTTTACAGACTTATCCCGCTTTGATCCAGATATAGCTGGTAATCAGGTAGAGCTGCTTCACCATTTTAAGCAGGGAACTAAGAGGAAATGGCGGACGTTTGCTAGTGCGATTCCTTGCACTACTTACCATGAGTTTTCTGAGATTTTGGTTTTGATGGATGATTTTGAAAACCTTTCTAGTAATAGTGAGGAAGATGAAGATAAGAATGATAATCAGAGGAAAGATGACAGGGGTAAAGGTATCTCCACTCAGGGACCCCGTAAGACACAGAATTTCAGGAGAAGTGGAGCGAGCTCGAGTTCTTCCAGTGGAGGATTTAGTGTCACAGGCCCGAGGAGAGGTGAAAGATTTACTGGTGGACCCAGGTTTCAGAGACAGAAAGACTTTGGTGGTGCTGGTGGTTCATGTCCTCCGTTGTGCTGCCGTTGTAATTTCAGACATCATAGAGAGTGTAGGAGAAGTGGCGGTGGTTGCTACACTTATGGACAGTTGGGACATAGAGCTACACAGTGTCCCCAAAGTTAACAAAGGCTTCAGCAGTCTGCTATGCCACCTCCAGCGCCGATTTAGCAGAACT